AATAGTGCAAGTGGATTGTATCTTGCATTAATTCAGCTTTTCTTTGCTGTTTTGGTGAATGAGGGTCCATCCACTTTCTGCATAGCATCCACAGGCTTAAGACTATGATACCACTATCTCATTTTCTTCAAAGCATCCATGAATAAGTTGATATTGAGGGGTAGAGATCTAGGAATGTTCAAGGGGTTGAATGTGGGGGACAGTGAATGAGCCAAAGGAGTGATATACTTATTGTTCGTAGATGATGTATTACTGTTCTGTGAACCAGAGATCAGAGCTGTCCTTAACTTATGTGTTCTGTTAGGTTTCCAGGTGATATCGAGTCTCAATATCAATCTTACCAAGTTTGAGTTGGTGAGTTTCTAGGATATAATTGAGAGTTTGATGCTAGCTAGAATCCTGGGTGGCAGATCAGTCAACCAACTGATAAAATATTGGGGTTGGCTCTTGGGGGCAAAATATCGAGATATCTTCACATGGGACCATATAGTAGTGAAGTTCCAGTCCCATTTATCTATATGGATGAGGAATCTGTTACCTAAAGGGGATACACTAGATCTCATTAAAAGCACCATGATATATAGAAAATATGTTACATGTCGTTGTTGACAATGCCAAATATTGTTGCCAAAAGTTTCAAGGTCATTCAGTGGAGATTCATATGAGGTGATTCAAAGTGTAGAAAATGATGTAATAAATTAAGTATTTCTTATTCTCCATTCAGTTACACATAGTGGAATATTCTCAGTAGGTGAGATGGCATGGTAACAACAAAAATCTGTTATCCCCCTTCCTCACATTTTGGAAAAGATGTCAATTTTCCTCTATAAAAAGCACCCTTTGGTGCCTGAAAGAAATAAGATAGAAAAAAGGAGAATTTCTTCATAAAAATCTCCATTCACAAAACTCTTCACTGTATCAGAACTCCATTTCTGATTTGAGAGCTTCCTTCAGCTGAGCCAGAATTCAAATGGCCACAAATGAGCTCAATTCCTCTCCTTCCGAAGTCTCTTCGGGTTCCTACCTCCCCGCGACTCCGAACCACAGCCTAGTTGAGCAAACATCATTGTTCATCACGGGGCACAAGCTGAACGAACAGAACTACCTTCCATGTTCAACCTTTGTCTTACTGTTTATTCGCGGCAAAGGCCGCGACAATTACCTCACAAGTGAAACAGTTCCTCCCGCAACCAACGACCCAACTCTCTGCGTCTAGAAAATAGGGAATAGCATGGTAATGTCGTGGCTTATTAACTCAATGGTGCCCAACATTGGTGAGAATTTCATGTTGTATGAAACAGCGAAGGACATCTGGGAAGCGGCTCGCAAATCGTACTCCAGCAAAGATAACGTCTCCGCCATCTTCGAGGTCGAGTCGACTCTCCATGAGCTGCGTCAGGGTGAGCTTTATGTTACTCAGTACAGTAAGTCAATTCATGAATCAACTGTCAGAAATACATATGAAGGTCGTGTACAGAATTTTGAGATAGCTAAAAAAAACAAGGGACTAGGACTATTTTTCCAAAAGAAAATAAACAGGGATATTGAAGTCTTTACTGATGCTGACTGGACAGGGCCGATAACCAACAAGAGATTCACTTCTGGCTACTGCACGTGTGGGAAAATTTAGTCACATGCCGCAGCAAGAAGCAGTCTGTAGTATTCCATAATGGCGCAAAATCTGAATTTCGAGCATTTGCACATGGGATTTGTAAAAGGATATGGTTGAGAAAAATACTACTAGAGTTAAAGGTATCTATTGATACTTCTATGAAAGTGTGGTGTGACAATCAATCAACAACCAGCATGGCCAAGAACCCAATACACCAGGATAAGACCAAACATGTAGAGATAGATCGACATTTCATTAAAAAAAAGATTGAAGATGGAACCATAACTCTTATGCACATCCCTACCAATTAACGAGTTGCTAACATCCTAACAAAAGCACTACCAAAATAGATATTTGATAATATTGTATCCAATCTAAGTTTACTGAATATATATATGTAAACTAAATTGAGGGGGAGTGTAGAAAACGCTTTAATAAATTAGGTATTTCTTATTTTCCATTCTGTTACACAGAGTGGAATATTCCCAGTAGGTGAGGTGGCATGGTGACAACAGAAATCTGTTATCTCCCTTCCTCACATTTCGGAAAAGATGTCAATTTTCCTCTATAAAAAGCATCCTTTGGTGCCTAAGAAATAAAAAAAATAAATAAATAAAAAAAGAGAATTTCTTCACAAAAATCTCCATTCACAAAACTCTTCACAAAGGAGCAGAGAAAATGTCATATGGGGCTTGGGAGGAGGTAAGACAACCAATCCTAGAGGGAGGCTTAGGTTTAAGATCCTTGGTTGTGATGAAT